CAACAATCTGGCGCAGGGCAAATATATAGTCAGAGGTGCTTCGACCGGGCCGGAAGCCACACTGCTCTTCCTGAATCTTGAAGTCAACCATTTCACGGCACCTCCTTTCTAACACCTTTGCGTAGACTTTACCTAGGAGGCTCAATAACGTTATGCCCCTATAATTTATAGGTCATTCCTTGTGGTCTCCCTTCTTGAATATGGGTACAATAACTCCCGTTCTCCAGTTCGCTGGTGTCTTTCCTGCAATCATCGCAGTCTGACAGACACGCGTTAGCCAGCACATGCCTTGTTCGGCTAATGCCTTGAGCATCTCAGGGCGGATTTCATCAATTCTAGCAGTTTTTCCATTTTTCAAGTCTTTCACAGCTTGTGCAATTTCATCTACAGAGAGAGTAATATCCGCACCCTTCTGCTGTAGAGGCGAGTCTTCCTGCTATTGCGCGGAGTTAAGGAGTTCCTCAAAGTACTCCCTGCATCGCCGAAGAATGTCATCATCCTTGGTAAGAGGATGTCCAGATCTGTCCTTCAAGACTCTGAGACTGCTCTTCTTTTCTCCTCGGAGCCGGCGGATAGTCTGCCAGAATACCTTGTTCATCGTGTGGAAATTCGACTCCAACACCTCATCGAACTTCTCCCAAGAATCAGTATGGTTTTCGCTACTGCTTTTGTAGCAATTCTGCGCTCTTGTTCATACCGTACACGAGTTGAGGGCTCTTTGCTTCCCAGCCATTTTTTGGATTTAGCCTTCATCTATTTAACTGCCAGCTGTACTTATCGTGTCCACCAGTAAGTTATTTAGTGACCGCCAGGCAGCAGGCCAACTTATTTGCATCCGCAGCATTCCGCAGCAGCCTCGAGTATGCAGCTCATAAAGAGCTCCCACCTGGTTTTCACTTCAGCGGTCATCACCGGGATCCGTTCAAATTGTGGTGCGATGTTGCTTGCAAGTTTCGCTCTTGTATCCGCTGAAGATATTGTTTCCATTTGATCATCTAGTTGCCTCTGCCACCAAATCTTCGCATCGTACACGTAGCGTGCCAACAACAAGGTTGTGATCGACTGACAACTCTGCTGCCCTCTTAAACAAACATTCATTCCCTTGCAAACATTCATTAACTAACTAGCTTCCTTGTACCAGGTATAATGATGCATGCTTCGATGCTTAAAAATGGTTTTCATAATGGACAATCCGTTGTTTGGACAAAACGTAGTAACTTGCCATTATTGTTGAGGTCGCTAGGGCTGCTCTTTCCAATCGCTCCTTCCCACTTTTCGGCGTCTACTATGAGCATTTAAATCCCTTATTAGAACCAGGAACTCCGTAATTGGCACTTTGTACAGAGCACACTCCACTTCCTCAAGGAAGGACTCATATTCTCCCTTTAAATATAGTGAATAAATCTGTAATAAAGTCAACGCTTTAACCTGCTATAGCTTCAGACAGAGGACTGATACTGTTCCGCTGGGAGGTTTCTATTTAATGATCCTATCAGCTAGATTTGGTTCTACTCTAACACCATGATCAGCCTGAGCGCCAGTCGTGATTTCGACACCTGAGTAGAATAGCTTCCACCCGCAGATGTTCAGGATTCCAGAGCAATGGCGCTTCGTTGACGAGAGTCGATCTGTGTCGAGTGGGTACCATGCGGCCTCATCAACTAACTCCTTTTCTTTTTTCTGTGAGTGAGGAAATGTTCCAATTTCCGTTTGTAAGCTCTTACTGTGGGTATCGTTGCCATGGAACCTTATTTGACGTGACATAATTCCACTACACAGTCTAACTCCTCCGTTGCTGATTGATACCATCGTCTTCGTTGTGTCGATCTTCGGTAGCCGCTGTCGTGCTGCTTCACTCGCGGCTGCCAGAAAGCGATCAGCAGGTTCTTAGCCGTCCCGATCTACCAACAGCCTAAGTGATCGTCGATATTCCACGCGACGACCGTGCTGCTGTAATACTCGAATACGGCAATACTATAAGAGGTAGGAGGAAGCAAACGTTTAGAGAGACCATGCCATGGTCCCAAACCCTCATCCTTTCTCATCTGAGATTGGAAGCAGCAACGCGGATTTGAGTTCTTCCTGGTTATCAAAATAAATTTACATGTATAGAGAACCATTTTGAGAAGCAGCTGAGGTAAGGAACATTTAGATTCTTGGGACCGCATACCGCTTAAAATCCTTAAACAGAATTTTAAGAATGCTCTTGCTCGTATGTTCACATGCAAATCATGCTCAGAGGCACAAGCTACGCGAAACATTTGCCAAATTCAGAAAAGAGTTTATAAAACATAACTGTACAGTAAATGTACTAAAAACAAACTTACTATGCTGATTAGAAGACGCGACTAAAATCAGACCAGCGATTAAACAACCTAAACAAGAGTGAGGCTGTTCAGTTTGAAAATTAACCGGTTTAATTATTAAATGTTGGTTGTCACCACAGTTACCAGCTGTACCATGAGAGGTTTGCGAGCTTCAAACCGTAACTCTGGAGATCAGCATTTCAAATACCATTTGTGCTGTGAAATATTTGCAACAGGGTGTGATGGCACTTGCAAGGAGGTCAGTCGCTATAAACTCCAGGTTCGAATCTAAAGAAGGGTAGTCTGTGTCTTATCCGCGAATTCTCTTGGGCACGGAATTTACCATAGTACTTCGATGCGGTCAGCCGAAAAATGGGTACCAAGCTGCTGACTTGGAACAACAGGAACAGCATGGTATTCTGGTGCGGTCATGTCAGAATGGATGAAGTGTACGGCGGTGCTGATCGACGCGACCCCCCATGGCTGAACTTCGCCTTCACCCACCTGATAGTTGACTATTCAGTGTAATAGTCACCACGATTAGGCCTGCTTCTGATTTCGATGAACCGTGAATTTTGCAAACAGTGGATGGATGCTTGTTGTTGTCATCTCCATAGGGGTAAAATACGCTTAACAGCTCTGCTTGCTTTAGACTAATGACGTCCTGACATTCGGGAACAAATTTTTCGTACTTTTAGTCCCAGATTCAGACTGTTGATTTGACAAAGGACATACGATGT